TTCTGTCATTTATAAAAGAATACCTGAACCTGGGTAATTTGTAAAGAAATGAAATTTATTTCTTACAGTTTCAGAGGCTAGGAAGTCCCGGGAACACATCTGGTGAGGGTCTTTGTGGTGTTGGCTCTACAGCAACACAGGGTAACACATGGCAAAATGGTAACACATAGCAAGAAAGAGAGCTAAGCCTCTCACTCACTCTCCCCACAAAGCCATCATAACCATGCCCATGACCACCCACCAGAGGATTAATTCATTCACTAGGCCACAGTCCTCAAAATCCAACCACCTCTGAAAGGCCCCACCCCTTAACCACCACAGTAGGATTTCCCACCCTCTCAACACTGTCACAGTGGGGATCAAGTTTCCAATATCTTAAGCTTTGGGGGGCACACATTCAAGCCATATCATATGCCATGTAAAGTAACATATTCACAGATTCTGGAGATTATGACATGGACATCTTTGGGGGCCATTATACAGCCTACCACATTGTTTAACTATTTCCTATTTTTTCCATTATCAACATGACCGAATATTTATCCTCTTTTTACTTCTTCAAAAATATTCAGCATTAAAGTAAACAATTATGAAAATGTTTAAAGTTAACTACAAAGAAAGTCACAGCATTCTTTACAAGAGCAGACATTTGAAAATAACCTAAATGTGTAACAAAAATGTAGTTAAAATGTTATGGTGCAATGTAATATTAATGTGTAATAACAAATTAGAATAGTTAAATACACAGAAAGAGGCTCCCTCTATATTATTAAGTAAAAAAGTCAGTTCATAAAACAGCAAAAATTATAATCCTAATTTTATTTTTTGAAACTGTAGTATATCGGAAAACTGGTGACTTTTTACTTCCTTTCTTGCTCATTCATATACTCTGAAATGTTAATACTAAACAATTTTCTTTTCTTTTCTTTTTTTTTTTTGAGACCGGCCGCACTGTGCTCAGCCAGTGAGTGCACCAGCCATTCCTATATAGGATCCGAACCCGCGGCGGGAGCGCTGCTGCGCTCCCAGCGCCGCGCTCTCCTGAGTTCACCACGGGCTCGGCCCGTAAACAATTTTCAATAAAGGAAAACCTTTAAAAAATATTCAGCATTTTTGCTTTGTTTTAGTTTACTGTTTGATTAATTTCTGTACTTACCTTTATTTTTTATTGAAGTAAAATATATACAGTGAAAGAAATGGGTCATAAGTATAGACTTACTCTTGTAAGTATAGAGTTAGAGAAACTTAAAGTTGCAAACAGCCTTGTAAATCACACTCCTATCATGAAATAGAATATTTCTTTCCTTCACTCTATCAAGATCCCTTGTGCCCCACCCAAACTATTCCCAACCCAAGGATGTAACCCCTGTTTGGCTTTATTTTGTCATGGATTAGTTTGCCTGTTTTAAATTTCACATAAATGAAATCAAATGGTGTGTACCCTTTTGGGTCTGGAAGTTTTGATAGGCATTGTATAACTGAAGTTTATTCATTTTGTTATGTGTATCAGGGGCTGGTCCATTTTATAGTTGACTAATATTCCATAGAATGTATATAGCACAATTTATTTAATCTCTTGTTTGTAGACATTTCCTGTACTTCTTGTTATTATGAATAAAGCTGCTATTAACATTCTTGTACAAGTCTTTTCCTGGAAATATATTTTCATTTCCCTGGAGTGAATGCCTAGAAGTGGTATTGCTGGGTCATGGTAGGTATATGAAAATCTGCCAAAGCAATTGCCCAGTTTACATTCCAATCAGCAACGTTCAAGCGTCTGTTTGTTTCATGTGCTTACTTTTCACTTTGAAATAATCTTGGACTTGCACAAAAGTTGCAAAATCAGTGCAGAGTTCTCTTGCACTCTTCACTCAGCTTTCTCCAATGATTACATCTTATATAACAATAGTGCCATTATCAAAGCCAGAAAAATGATATTAATACAATTTATTTATTAAACTATTTCTTAAGCTACAGACCTTATTCTTTTTTTTTTTTTTTTTTTTTTTTTTTTTTTTTTTTTTTTTTTTGCCCGGGAAGGGG